ATGTGAAATCCCTAACACATTTTTACAGGTACTGAGGGTCTCGTCCGAGGTGCTTCCGCCCAGGACACTGGTGCTCCCATCACCATTCCTGTCGGTCCCGCAACTCTTGGCCGTATCATGAACGTCACTGGTGACCCCATTGACGAGCGTGGTCCCATCAAGACTGACAAGCGCCTTCCTATCCACACCGAAGCCCCCGAGTTCGTCGAGCAGTCCACCTCTGCTGAGGTTCTCGTTACTGGTATCAAGGTCGTCGATCTTCTTGCTCCCTACGCCCGTGGTGGAAAGATTGGTCTCTTTGGTGGCGCTGGTGTCGGCAAGACTGTGTTCATTCAGGAGCTCATCAACAACATCGCCAAGGCCCATGGTGGTTACTCCGTCTTCACTGGTGTCGGTGAGCGAACCCGTGAGGGTAACGATCTGTACCACGAAATGCAGGAGACTTCCGTCATTCAGCTTGATGGCGAGTCCAAGGTCGCCCTGGTCTTCGGTCAGATGAACGAGCCCCCTGGAGCCCGTGCCCGTGTCGCCCTCACTGGTCTTACTGTAGCAGAGTACTTCCGTGACGAGGAGGGTCAGGACGTGCTCCTCTTCATTGACAACATTTTCCGATTCACTCAGGCCGGTTCCGAGGTGTCTGCCCTTCTCGGTCGTATCCCCTCTGCCGTCGGTTACCAGCCCACCCTCGCCGTCGACATGGGTGGTATGCAGGAGCGTATTACCACCACCACCAAGGGTTCCATTACCTCCGTCCAGGCCGTCTACGTCCCTGCTGACGATTTGACTGATCCTGCCCCTGCCACCACCTTCGCTCATTTGGACGCCACCACTGTCTTGTCTCGTGGTATCTCTGAGTTGGGTATCTACCCCGCTGTCGACCCTCTCGACTCCAAGTCCCGTATGTTGGATCCCCGAGTTGTCGGTCAGGAGCACTATGACGTCGCCACCCGTGTCCAGCAGATCCTCCAGGAGTACAAGTCTCTTCAGGATATCATTGCTATTCTGGGTATGGATGAGTTGTCTGAGGCCGACAAGCTTACTGTCGAGCGTGCCCGTAAGATCCAGCGTTTCCTGAGCCAGCCTTTCACTGTCGCCCAGGTTTTCACTGGTATCGAGGGTAAGCTCGTCGACCTTAAGGAGACCATCAACTCCTTCAAGGCCATCCTTAACGGTGAGGGTGATAACCTTCCTGAGGGTGCCTTCTACATGGTTGGTGACTTCGCCTCCGCCAAGACCAAGGGTGAGAAGATTCTTGCTGAGCTTGAGGGTCAGTAAGGGGTTTAAGTATTGAAGTTAATGCCGCGGGAGACGGGAGGAGAGAAATAAAGGACCTGTGTATAGAGAAGAGGAACAAAGGTCCCGGAAGGTTTCTCATAAGCTCCACCAAGTCTCTTATGTGAGCTGTGTACTAAGAAATCAACAAAATTCCTCTTGTAGCCATATCAAGCTTTTCTTTTTTACTAAAAGTGATCCATTCTTAATTACCTTTGATGTGACGAGTGACTGCGTAATGATGCTCGATATCTACACTGAATTACAGTCGATATCACGCTTGGCTTATTTCAGTTTGACTACTTAATGTCAGACTAAGGAAATTCTCTTGGGCTTCATATCTCCACGGACTCTGGATATAGATAGATATAAGCTTGGTGAATCTTCCAGGACGGTGTGTCAGTGGTTATGAGAGTGATGCGCAGAGCCAAACCTCGCAATGAGTTGGTCAGTTGCAGAAGTGGAAAGTTACCGAGTATATACAAATTTGATTCTATTCTTGCTGAAGAAGGAGACCTTTAAGTCTCACGGGTATCCAATAAAATCGTTCCCAAACATCCTCTCGTTTCCCGACTCCCTGTGTTCTATTGATTCTTTCAAATTGTCCATCATTGAATATGTTCAGTCATGGATCGAATGTAAAGGTCGAGTTCATGTCGGTCCTCCATTTCTCGATAGCCTCTCCCTTTGTTATAACTTGCCCTCTTGAATCCATGAGCACGAGCTTCTTCTCGGCAGGTATCCACTCAACACGTCTTCCCTTCTCGTCAACAAGGGTGATGGATGCCGTGGGATCTAATCGTAGGCTGTTGGGTTTTTGCGGTGACCAATTTGGATCTTCGAACAAAACTCTTCCAAGCTCAAGCTCGCCTTCGACGAGGCGTGCCATGTGTGGGACGAGAAGATATTGCTGCCACTCTGGGCCGATATACTCGCAAAGATCCCGCAGTGAACGATTTCCGACATTCTTTATCCACCAGACATCTGACGGGAACTTGAGGAAAGCCGCATAGTAAGCGAGAATGATGAGAGCTCGGGGGCGTAATTCGCGTGCGAGTTGGACGAAGGGTCGGGGCACAAAAGTGAACCAAGTGATGATCCGTAGCATCATGGTGGGCCCGAAACCATCGTGTAAGTTCTGATATAAGGAGCCGAGGAATTGAAGTGTCTCGTAGTAGGTTTCCACGTTAAGATAGTCTGGATCGCTGGGCTCGATGGAGTTGAGCATGGAGACAAGGCAGGCAGGAATATGGTTTGTGGCCTGCTCAACGTCGACAGAAGGTCTGTTGAACAGACAGTAAAGGCCCGAGTCAATGAGTTTCTCAACACCCATGAGGTCAATGACGAGGCCAATTCCCCTCCAGACAATCATCCAATCGATCAAGTAAAGCTTTTTACCATCTTCATCGCGGAAATTTTGAGATGACAGAGCAGTGAGTAATAGAGAGTTGGCTAGTAACGCTGGGAACGTCTCAGGCTGTGCTTTTTCTACGGCCAGACGATATCCCTCAAAGGAACGAGCGCGATAGGTGAGAGCGCGTGCAGGGTCGTGGCTCAACTCAAGACTCTGCATGTGAAGACTTGCAAGACCAAATAACGAATCCATAAGAAAGGGGTTCTCAAAGGCAACCTGGACCATTCTGTTTCTTAGAACTTCGTTGATTGGGTTCGAGGGTCCCTGGTCCACTGAGAAAGAGGTACACGTTGAGCTGGTGTAGAACCAGAGTAGCTTCATATCTGTCACGTCCATTTGACCATGGCGGAATACGGGCGAGACGGCCAACGGCCCCACCTCTTTCATAGGCTCATCTCCAGAGGAAATAGAGACGACATCTGGTGAAGGAGCATTCTGAGGAGCGGATGGGGGTTCTGGTGGGCGTTGAGGAGAAATGGTGATGTTGTTATTTAAAGAGGGAGTAGTTGAGGCTGCGGGAGTCGGATACACGCAATCTGCCTTGCGCAATCTGCATGATCGACAGACAGGACGAGCCTCGTCGCATTTAACCTTGCGAGCTTTACAGTTGCGACATCCTGTTCGTGACTTCTTGTGAGGTCGTTTAGAATGGTAGGGCTTATTGTTATCGTAATTAGGCGGCGATCCTTCTGGGCTCTCCGACTGGGGCTGCTCTGATGAGATCTGAGAGTTGTCCATGGCTGCTGAGACTATAACATGGTCATATGTAGCAACAGTTAGTTATCACAGATGGAAGGGACGGAATTATGTATGAGATGAAAGAGGTGTCTTGATTTAGTGAGAGTGAGTTGAGTTTCATGCTAGCATGGATGGATGAATGAGTTGCTTGATGACAAGGCCTCGCCCACCAACAGCGGAAACCCCGCGTGTGCGTCTCAGGACCAAACAAGGCTTAGCAGCACTCTAAGTTAGTTCCATTGCAGCTGTGACTGGATGACGACTCTAGTCTATGATGACAATGAGATTTGTGTCTGTACAGAAGGATTCGGGTAGACGGGCCCTGAAATCCAATGTTGTCTAAGGTATTCCAGGGCTATTGAGTCCCTCCTTGTAAGTGGTTTATTTGCAGTGGAATATGGTACTTGACTCAAATAAACCTAACATCAAGTTAAAGTAGGTACATGGTTATCCAAAAATGCATCAGATAATATCCCCATGTTGCGTAATTTGACACGAGGCATAATCTCCTCGAAAACGAAACATTTCAAACAGAACGTCGAGTTGACGACGCCCAATTCCAAAGTCGGCAATCTTCAGGGCCCGTCTTACTCCCCTTCAGCCAGCTCAGCCTAGGCAATTGGTAAATATCAGGTCATAGCAAGAGAGTGCATACTGCAGCAACGGATGCATTGGCTTTGCGTGTTTTTTTTTTTTTTTTTTAACTTTTCACCAAGTCGCAATCTCCCAAAAGTACACTTGCTGTACTATTATGTTATAATCATACCTAAGATATAGTTGTTTTTTTATATCATGCCTGGCGGTCGAAGCTTCGAATGTCTGTTATAGCAGAGTTTTGGTAGTAGTGCATCCTTAACGATTATGCTTATGTCCTACCGATCAGTCGAGACGATCACTCGTCGGTTTCTGCAGGATTGATACATGCAACCGAAGATCCCATTCATATATAATTTGAATGAAGATGGACCGATATATCTGAACTTTTTGGCAGCCTAATGGCATTATAGATAGCTAGAGACAATATACGAATTTAAAGATACCTACCAAGCAAAACCCCAATGGTCTATCTGAGAACCGTATACTAGAGCTACTTCCAGAACATATGTAACTTACTATCACGACATTATACATTGTTTCGAGGCTTACTTGCAATTGTGATTTCCACTTACACGGATTCATTATTTCAGTGGATAAGATACCCTATACCAATAGAAAACTTTATCAAGTATATTCTTGAATAAACTTCCAAAGTCTCACATGTAGAAACAAAAGAGACCGGACTGTATTCGATGCAAGTCATAGAACTTTTGTCCTTTTCCTTCCCTTATAGAAGACAAATGCTAACATTGTCCCTTGCTAAACCGGACCCGAGATTTGATCGGGGTTCGGCCGACTTAAAAAAAAACCCCCGGCCCCGGTTTTCAAACTTTTGGGGAAATTGTTAAGCAAGACATGACAGGGCTTATGGCTCATAACTCATAGCTCAAAGCTCACAAACAACAGCCTTGCGACTTTAACTTCAAAGGCTCCGCCATAGTCTTCAACTCTCGGTACCGACCGACGAGAACTCGCCCGGATGCAATCGACAGGGCTTCGCGCCCTGCTCAATCCTGCTATCGTCGCCGCCAGATCACAAGTCCGATCTCGAATACGCTATCGATCATTTCAGACATCGTCAACCTGGAGGGACACAGGCGCAGGCGCAGGTGCAGGCGCGGGTGCAAACAATGGTGACAAGCCACCAGGGCAATCGGCTGTTGTAGAGGACGAAGATGTACAGCCGCAAAACGGAACCGAAACCGCACCGGGTCGTTCACGAGTTCGGACTTCGACTTCTTTGAAAAACAGAATAGCTCGCAAACATGCCGCTCCTGCGCTACCCCCCGTCAAACTACCACAAGCGTTCCTCGACGACAATGTCACTCTTCACCATGCCTGGAGGAGACCACAACTCCCGATTGCTCTCGCTGAAGACGCCAAACAACCAAAGACGTCCTCTATCTTTGTCGATCCTCAGGTCGCCGATAAGAAGACTCGAATAACGGAATCTAACAAGGCGCTTGAAGATTACTTCGATGCGACATTCACTGCCATGTTCGAGAAAGTCGCGGACCGTGTAAAAGCTGTTGTTGCTCTCGATGCCAATTGCCACACAGAGGAGCTCGTTCATAAGCTGACGAGCCTCACCCGCGCCTACGACATGCTGCTCGACTCAGCATGGCATTTGGCCGATTCCTTATATCCTGCCCGACACGCGGAATATACATACACTTCAAAACCCTTCTGGTGGTGGCACTACTATAAGGACTTTGACCGACATGCCCAAGAGTTTCGCGACCAGTTCCTTTCAGTTCAGACAGGTCTCGATAGCATTCTCGACTATGACTGGAGACTCGACCACTCCCTAGCCCAAGCCATCGCCGACCTGCCTATTCTCACGTTCTCCTCTATTAGATCTGCTCTGCGTCGAGAATTAACAACACCGCCCCCTCCCGACTCTGAGTCGAAGAACCTTAAGCGTCAGATCACCATATTGTCCATGTCTGGCTATAGCGGACAAGCCATATCAGAGGCTGTCGCAGAACACATCGCCTACTTCAACGATGCTGATCTGGTCAAACTGAATGCCCAGGATTTATCCGTCACAGTAGGAGACTATCTCGACCAAGACTGGGCTTATTCGCGAGGGTCTCTTTCGAACATGGGATTCCGCGCTGCAGAGATGAATGGAAAGCTTTACAGGGATCCCGATGTGGTGGCACGCCCCGAGGAGGAGGATAACGACCCTGACACGGGCGTGATTAACATTCGCGCAGCCTCAGGTTCGCTTGAAGACGAGCTTTCCAAAATCAAGCAGGGTGGCTATGACCCCTTTGGCAAATGGGAGAACCTCAAGATCGACAAGGTCTTGGAGCAAATTATACAGGCAGCCGAGCTTAAGCAAGGCTCCCCGCGTGAGAAGCCTCTCATCATCCATATCCACGATTTCGTTGAACTTAGTATGACACTTGAGGGTTCAATGCTCATCACGAGATTGAGAAATATCGTCGATTCAGCCTGGCAGCAAGGGTCAAAGGTTGCAATTCTGGGAACGTCCTCGAGTGAGCAACCTTCAGAGGAGTATCAAAGCATGCTTCGAGATCTCTCGGTTGGAGACTTTGTCATTTCTCGACATATCGATCCTTCTCGCACTTTAAGGCAACCCAAACCGTCTGGCGGCTTACAAACTTCCGATGGCAATTTCCCTCTGCAGGATACAGACATTTTCGTGGAGAACGTTCAAAACATCAACCGTATGCTGAAATCATTAGGCAGCCAGTGCATCCTTGAACTTTCAGATGCTCACATGAAGATCTTTATGCACGCTACAGACACCCGGGCTCAGATGCTCAAAAAGTCTATTCTTCCTCTACCAGAGGTGTACAACATTGCATGCGCCGCAAAACGCCACGAAGAGGAAGCCGCAGGTGCTGCACCAGGAGGAGTGTATGAGCGCCTTCTCATGGGCCCTTTAAGGCAAAGACCCGGGCAGCGATACCTTGACGAGCCTGAGCAAGACGGCAAGACGGAAGGAGAGGACTCACAGAAGAAGGATGAAGACCCGCAATCAGGCGGCCGGGCATCTATGAAGCTGAATGAGTATGAGAAGCGGATATCTTCAGGCCACATCAACCGTCAGAACTTGAGAACGACTTTCGACGATGTTCACGTCCCCAAGGAGACCATATCTGCCCTCAAGCTCCTCACAACCCTGGCGCTGGTACGGCCTGATGCGTTCTCTTATGGTGTACTAGCCCAGGATAAGATTCCTGGATGCCTGCTGTATGGACCTCCTGGTACAGGCAAGACGTTGCTCGCAAAGGCGGTTGCCAAGGAGAGCGGCGCAAACATGCTCGAAATCAGTGGTGCGACTATAAATGACAAGTGGGTTGGTGAGAGCGAGAAGCTCATCCGCGCTGTCTTTACTCTGGCCAAGAAGATCTCACCGTGTGTAGTCTTTATTGATGAGGCCGATTCTTTACTAGCAAACCGCAGCATGCTCGGTGCTCGCGCATCACACCGGTCTCACATCAACCAGTTTCTGAAAGAATGGGATGGTCTTGAGGAGACAGAAGCCTTCATCATGGTTGCCACCAACCGTCCATTCGACCTTGATGACGCTGTTCTCCGCCGCCTGCCACGCCGTCTGCTTGTCGACCTGCCTCTACAAGCAGACCGCAATGCCATTCTGAAGATACTCCTCAAGGGCGAAACCCTTGACCCTGCCGTTTCACTCGAAGATCTAGCCAAGCGTACACCCTACTACTCAGGTTCTGATCTGAAGAATGCCTGCGTCGCTGCCGCCATGGCTGCTGTTGAGGAGGAGAATGAAGCTGCTGCACGTCACAGTGGCCCCGAGCCGTATGAATACCCTAAGAAGCGTATTTTGCGCCAGGACCACTTCGACAAGGCACTTCGCCAGATACCGGCTAGCATCAGCGAGGATATGCAGTCTCTCAAGCAGATCCGCAAGTTTGATGAAGAATACGGAGCCAAGAAGAAGGGTGCAAAGAAGACGATGGGTTTTGGCGTCGGCGCAGAGAAGAAGTTTGCAGATGCTGAGGAGGTACGAATCCGTCGCGGTCCGTGAGGATGTTGATGTTAGGCTTGGATTTGGGTTCACATGTTTATGCATCATGGCGTCAGGCAGGGATCTTTCTTTGTATAACACACACATATAGACTTGGCCAACACAGAGGTACTTACGATGGATTGAACTAAATGGCGAGACTGTTCTTTGACATTTCAAGGATATAGCATTGGCAAAAACAGCCAATAAACTATAGAATGATATAACCAGATACTGAGTCACAAATCTGAGACCCGGTAACGACGGTCATAATAAGGCAATTAGACTCCATTCCAGAGCATTCAGGTTTAACCCTCCTAACTGCAGAACAGATCCCATCCATCATATCTAGCCTTCACCACTGATACTCCAACTCGAACTGCTGCAACGGAAAAGGGCGTATCACTGGCCCTGACCGCTTGAGGCGACTCATGGCAACGACAAGACACTTGATATCCGTAGGATCGGCCAGCCTCCCCCCCACAAAGACAGGCCAGACATGTCGATGTTTTGAAGCGACTGCCTGCCAAACTTTGATCACGGTGGCACCAGGCACAAACGCAAAAGTCGAAATTTGTCAGAAAATGCTAATGATGAGCATAATAACCGTAAATGTCACCTTACGATAATCTTCGGACAAGTCTGTGACAATGATTTATAGATGCTTTTTTAAATTTCATCGATCTCGTCATGCTTTCTCCCCTAAGAGGATTATTATTTTTTACGGAATCGAGCTTGGAAGGATCATGCTTCAGTCGATATCTGAATCCCTTCTGCTGCGAGAGCCCTCGAGTAGTCGGCTTGAGCCTTCTCCAAAGCATTCATAGTTGGTTGCATCAAAGCAATCACGGCAGCTTTGCCACCTCCAACATTATCCGATCGCCATCTAATCTTCTTCCCGGTTCGCTGGAAATGATCGCGGATCTCCTTCTTCCGGTTGCGAATGATTTCCTCACGCTCCTTGTCGGCTTCCTCTGCAACTGCGTTGATACGTGCCAGTGATCGGCCCAGGGACTCGGCTAGGTATTGTAGTTCACCAGCGCGGTCCGGGTCGCCTGAGAGGAATGCGTTCCAGAACTGATGCAGAAACTCGATAGTCGTTGCGTGGGTAAGGCTGCACTTGCGGGAGATCTCAACAGGGAGCCCCATAGGTTCAGAGGCATCCGTCTCATGTCCGTATTTTTGAGCGCGTTGCTGGCGCACACCCTTCATGATGTCCTTATCGGCAGCTATAAGTGCAGAGCGTGATCCAACATGCGGACGTTTGGGAGTATCTTCGTCACTTTCGCTCTCTTCGTCAAATCCCATTGCTGCCTGTATATTTATTCCACCAGCACCGTCACCCTCGAGAGTCTCGAGATCTCCCACTATCTCGAATAGGACTTCGCTAGGAACTTGCTTTTCGAACACCGCAGCTTGTTTCGAGGGTGCAGAGTCATGTTTCGAAAAGAACTTGTTCTGTTCTTTCACGTTGAGCATGATACGATGCTCCTTCGCGTCGCCCTTGAGATCACGCAATGCCAGCTGAACATAGGCGTTGTAACCACCATCGGGATCATCAGTGTTGACATCAGAAGGTGCAACATTGGCCATGATCTTCTCACTGAGACTGTTGAGGGTCTTCACAATTGGTATATTGGCCCTAGGGCGCATCTCGACATCCTTCGCGTTTCCACTTTTGAAACCTCCTTGATTCTCCTCGTTGGCCTCGATGTCGATAAAATGCGGTACTTGGTTTGCCATGATCTTGCTCTGAAACGCAACCGTATTCTCGTTGGGGTCATATTTGTCGAACAAAGGGTCAGTAGGATCGTTCTCAGCGACTCGCTCACCGCGTAGCTTTTTGGAAAGTCTGCTGAGGAAGAAACGGGACCAGAAGTCCGCTTCAGATATCTTGGGGACATTCTCGTTGTATACACGCTTGATCAGGGGATGTTGTGCGAATATCATTTGCACCTGTTCTACGCTGATGTTTAGTTTTAGTTCGCCATCAACAGTCTTGGGTTTGACGGTTGAGAGGACATTATAGGCTCCTTTCTTCTGATTTATCTCAATAGCGTGGGCTCGGAGAAGACTTGTCCGGGTTGACCAGAACTGTGAATTAAAGGCGGCTCCCGATAAGGAGTCAGGCTTGGTTTGCATCGCTTCAACATATGTTTGATGCAGACTTGTATCTTTTCTCATCAGTGACTGTTGCAGCTCGATGTCGTTCTTGAGCTGCGAGTCATCGAACCAGCGCGAGGATGAAGCATTCTGTGAGTTGACAGCGCTGGCGAAGGCCATGGATGCGGAACCACTACCACTACCACTACCACTACCACTACCAGGATTGGGCGTTGAAGAGCCACCATTTGCGCCAGGTGGTTTTGGAACAGATGCATCGCTGCCGCGTGTGGAAGCTAGTAGACTGGATAATAGATCTTTAACGGCTTTTGCTTCATCCTTAGCCTCGGCGGTGTTGAAGTGGAAGAGATATGTAGCAGGCTCAGCATCTCCAACTTTTTCAAAGATTTTGAGCATAACCTTTGGTGAGGAATCTGGAGTCTGTTGGAGGTCTGACGTGATGCCATGTTAATAACCAATTCGGACCACAGGACGAAAACCGCGTCTCAGCTTACTTGTGATGTTGTTGATGTTGAGTGAGACTGTGGCAGGGCCTCCTGAATTAGGAGTCCAAGTGACCAGCTGATGGTCACTTGTGAGAGTCAGGATGCCCTCCTTCTTTTTGAAAAGGGTACGTCCCACTGGGATCACCATCTTGAAGGTAAACTATCTTGTTAATGTGACGGTTTGATACGGATAATCACCGTTGAGAAGATGCTTCCATTTATTAGATTAGATTGGATGCCTGCTCTTCAGTGCTTTGTTCAATAAGACCCACTCGCGGCCACTGATTTCATGATTACCTAAGGCAGCATGCATGGCATCTAAGCTCAGACTCAAACGGGACTCAGAGTTGAACAACAGGAGGTTCATATGGAATATTTGATCGTAACTTATAGGTTACCGTTAGCATCTGTGGTCGGCTCCTTCAAATTTCATATGCGACTGCAAGATCACATCAAACTCATCATCAAACCAATCAATTAATCAGGTGATAGCCTAGTAAGGTTTGGCGTTGTAAAAATGGCAGGTGGAGTTGCTTGCAGTTTTCTCAATCTTAGCACGTCTTATGCCGACTCCAACCTGTAACTTACAAGACTTACAGGAAGCTGTGGACCCTATCAACTCACCATCTGATGATACTCGTTGATTCTATCTATAATAAGGCTCTAGCTATGTATTCTCTAATGTTGGGTTCTAATTGGTTAGCAACGAGAACTTGAGCTGCACAAAAACAAAAACGGAACATGGAATGCCGCGGGATCAGAACATATCGAATTGACGCTTCATGCTGATCTGCATACGTCAGAGGTTCGTATGTGCGTCAATACATCATTCATCAGCTCAGCTTCTCCAACTATGAATGTGGCTGGTGAATTACTATTATCAACTGCCTGTTTTTCCCGTGGCTCAAACCTTTCGACATATTCGAAACTCTCTCCAAAACCTGGAATGCATGAGATCATGAATGCATGAAAATACAGTAGAGTACAGTACATACAGTCCCACCCCAAACTCCCAATTGCCCTTGTCGCGTCGGCTATTGACCCTGTTTGAACCACGTAAAACTTCACGATGGTTACTCCGCAATCTCAGTTCTTTTCCTGTGCGCCCTGATTCACTCCATGATTTGACTAACTTACTGACACTTTTTCAGACTAGACCGTGTGAGGAAGATCTCCCCATTCCCACAAATGCACCACCAGGTTTCATTCTAGCCCCCTATAACCACAAGTCACCATCATGAATCAGTCGGCATTGAAAACCAAATGCCCCAAAATCGTGGGGAAGTACAAGCGACGGCCCGGCTCAACGGGTGCCATGGTGAGCACTGAACGGTACAGCGTTTCCGGGGATCACTCTCTCCTTGCTCAAGCATTACGGCGATCCTCGGTAAAGAAGCCTCAAGTCTCCGAAAAGGACCCCAAAGCCCCAAAAATATTGAAACGTGCCCCAATGACAGCTGCCGCAAAAGTCCACGATGACCTCTAAAACAGTGTGTCATGTGGGTTCCCGGACAATCAAGGCCGGTCACCTCTCACCTTGGAATTTACCTAATTCTCCCTATGAAAACCTCCCAACACTGCCTGGCCTGCACCGTGTGCCGCACGGAGTTTTCTCGGTGACCGAAGCGCTACGGGAGCTCCTAGCCAATGAAAACCCCAATCCCTGGCGGCCAGAACCGGGTTTGCCGGGGCGTCATAGTATTTTTACCACAGCAGGACATCAAAGACCAGGCCAGGGCAGGACAGGTACCTAGCGACTTGAGCTCCAGCGCTGCTCATACCTAAAACAATTTCTTTCTTCTACTTGTTCTTCCCGTGTCCCCCCAACTATCTACCTTACCTTATCCATCTATCAATTTCAATCCAATTCCTCTCCTCAGTCTTCACGGGGAATCCTTTGTTGACTTACTCCGCCGTTCCTTCGTGTCGTGATCAAGCTCGTCGAGGGATGCTTCCCATTCATATCCTCTAGTTCCTTTTTACCTACCTATACCTGTTCTGTTTCTCCACATACACAAACAAAAACGCCCATCATGTTGAGGAATTCGCTCTGCAGAGCTAGCTCGCAGCTCCTTCGCGGTGCTCGATGCTCTGCTGCCTCTTCTACCGCCTCTATCTCGACCCTCTCGGCCCACACATCATCATGGAAGCTCGCTGCCTCCCGCCGCCCTCTGGCCGTTGCTGCTCGTCGCAACTATGCGACCAGCGCGACTTCTGCGCCTCCCGACCCTAACGATAACTTCCTCTCCGGAAGCACCGCTAGCTACATCGATGAGATGTACATGCAGTGGAGGCAAGATCCTGAGAGCGTCCACGTTTCTTGGCAGATCTACTTCAAGAACATGGAGAGCGGCGAGATGCCCATCTCTCAAGCTTTCCAGCCTCCTCCTAACCTGGTCCCTAACATGACCGGTGGCGTTCCTCGCCTTGCTGGCAACCTGGCCATGGAGGATGGTTCCGATGTCACCAACCATCTGAAGGTCCAGCTTCTTGTCCGCGCTTACCAGTCTCGCGGTCACCATACCGCCAAGATTGATCCCCTCGGTATCCGAGGTACCAACGACGCCAAGGGCTTCTCCAACATCAAGCCCAAGGAATTGACTCTCGAGCACTATGGTTTCACCGAGAAGGACATGGATACTGAGTACACCCTCGGCCCTGGTATCCTGCCTCGCTTCAAGCGTGATGGCCGTGAGAAGATGACTCTCCGCGAGATTGTCGATGCTTGCGAGAGAATCTACTGCGGTTCTTTCGGTGTTGAGTTCATTCATATCCCTGACCGTGATAAGTGCGACTGGCTCCGTGAACGCCTTGAGGTCCCTACTCCCTTCAAGTACTCTGTCGATGAGAAGCGCCGTGTTCTCGACCGACTTATCTGGAGTTCCAGCTTCGAGTCTTTCCTGGCTACCAAGTACCCCAACGACAAGCGATTCGGTCTTGAGGGTTGTGAGACCCTTGTCCCTGGTATGAAGGCCCTCATTGACCGCAGTGTCGATTATGGTGTCAAGGACATTGTCATCGGTATGCCTCATCGTGGCCGTCTCAACGTTCTCTCCAACGTCGTCCGAAAGCCCAACGAGTCTATTTTCAGCGAGTTCGCTGGTACAAATGGTGCCGAGGATGAGGGATCTGGTGACGTCAAGTACCATCTCGGTATGAACTTCGAGCGTCCCACTCCCTCCGGCAAGCGTGTTCAGCTTTCTCTGGTCGCCAACCCTTCGCATCTTGAGGCTGAGGATCCCGTCGTCCTGGGCAAGACCCGCGCTATCCAGCACTACAACAACGATGAGAAGACTCACCGCACCGCCATGAGTGTCCTTCTCCACGGTGATGCCGCCTTTGCTGCTCAGGGTATCGTCTACGAGTGTCTCGGCTTCCACTCTCTCCCCGCCTTCTCTACCGGTGGTACCATTCACCTCGTCGTGAACAACCAGATTGGTTTCACCACCGATCCTCGATTCGCCCGATCTACCGCCTACTGTACCGATATTGCCAAGGCCATCGACGCTCCCGTTTTCCACGTTAACGCCGACGACGTCGAGGCTGTCAACTTTGTCTGCCAGCTTGCTGCCGATTGGCGCGCCGAGTTCCAGCACGATGTTGTCATTGACCTCAACTGCTACCGAAAGTACGGCCACAACGAGACCGATCAGCCTTCCTTCACCCAACCGCTCATGTACAAGCGCATCACTGAGAAGGAGCCTCAAATCGACATCTATGTCAATAAGCTCATCGAGGAGGGCTCTTTCTCCAAGGCGGATGTCGACGAGCACAAGCAGTGGGTCTGGGGCATGCTCGAGGAGAGCTTCACCAAGTCCAAGGACTACACTCCTACCTCCAAGGAGTGGACCACCTCTGCTTGGAACGGCTTCAAGTCTCCCAAGGAACTGGCCACCGAGGTTTTGGCTACTAACGAGACAAGTGTCAAGAGCACTACTCTCGAGCATATCGGTACCGTTATTGGAAGCACTCCCGAGGGCTTCCACGTTCACCGCAACTTGAAGCGTATTCTCGCCAATCGAACCAAGTCTGTTGTCGAGGGTAAGAACATCGACTTCCCTACTGCTGAGGCTCTGGCATTTGGTTCTCTCGTCACTGAGGGTTACCACGTCCGTGTCTCCGGTCAGGATGTCGAGCGTGGTACCTTCTCTCAGCGACACGCTGTCTTCCACGACCAGGAGACTGAGGATACCTACACTCCCCTTCAACACCTGAGCCAGGACCAGGGCAAATTCGTCATCTCTAACTCTTCCCTGAGTGAGTTTGGTGCCCTCGGCTTTGAGTATGGTTACTCCCTGTCCTCTCCCCACGCCCTTGTCATGTGGGAGGCCCAGTTCGGTGACTTCGCCAACAACGCTCAATGTATCATTGACCAGTTTATCGCTTCTGGTGAGGTCAAGTGGATGCAGCGAACCGGTCTCGTCATGTCTCTGCCCCACGGTTATGATGGTCAGGGTCCCGAGCACTCTTCTGGACGTCTCGAGCGATACCTTCAGCTCAGCAACGAGGATCCCCGTGATTTCCCCACTGGTGAGAAGCTTGTCCGTCAACACCAGGACTGCAACATGCAGATCGCCTACATGACATCTCCTGCCAACTTGTTTCATATTCTCCGCCGCCAGATGCACCGCCAGTACCGCAAGCGTAAGTAAAATTGATGTTATTTGTTTTCTATTGGTGCTAACTTGTCTGCAGCCCTCGTTATCTTCTTCTCCAAGTCTCTTCTCCGTCACCCTCTGGCTCGCAGCAACATCGAGGAGTTCACTGGTGAGAACGCTGGCTTCCAGTGGATTATTCCCGATCCCGAGCACGAGACTGGTGCTATCAAGGCTCCTGAAGAGATTGAGCGTGTTATTCTCTGCAGCGGTCAGGTCTGGGCTGCCCTTCACAAGCACCGATCCGAGAACAACTTGGACAACGTCGCCATCACTCGCATTGAGCAGCTCAACCCCTTCCCTTGGCAACAACTCAAGGAGAACCTCGACCAGTACCCCAACGCCAAGACCATCGTTTGGTGCCAGGAGGAGCCTCTCAACGCCGGTGCCTGGAGCTTCACTCAGCCCCGTATCGAGACCCTGCTCAACAACACTGAGCACCACACCCGCAAGCACGTCATGTACGCTGGCCGAAACCCCAGTGCTTCCGTCGCCACTGGTCTCAAGCAGGTTCACATGAAGGAGGAGCGCGAACTCCTCGAGATGGCTTTCACTGTTAAGCAGGACAAGCTCAAGGGCGAGTAAGTGGACGAAAACTCAAGGAACAGGTTTTATAGGGGATTACAATATGGATAGTATGGTATGGTAATTGCATGGCCACTAATCGTTTGGGAGGGAAGAAGTTTATAAAAGCCGCTGGATCTGGGGAGCAACTGAGCTTCTCATGTAAACCACTTGTATCATACCCTCCTAGACGAAGGACACTTTTGCCCTACATTGGCATGGGCTTGGGAACGACATAGCATGATTTTTTTTTATTGTTTAAGTGTTCAGACCACCTGAAGGGTCGTTTCATTTTCTATATCTGGCATTGCGTAGACGATACATCTATCTGATCTATTGATATTCACATTCGTCTTCAAGTATAAGTGAGTGAGTTTATTTTGGGTTGTATTATCTCAACAAGATGCAATGCTACCTTGGCGCGTCAGTCTCAACCTGCCACGGCCGCACGATCCCGTCATCGCCCGTTGTAACTAGCATCTCCTCTTCCCCGCGCCGCTCCGAGCCGGCATCGTATCTCCGGCACCAGGTAATATGATTGACCTCGAAAGGCCCATGAGCTCCGGGCTGCGTAGTCAGGAGTCTCCAACTCGTCTGTTGTTGCTTGCTCTCCTCGGTGTTACCCATACGTTGGTCTTGGCCGTCGGTTGTCGCGACATCTTGCTCCGAGTCTTCGGCGTACAGCGCAACGATACCATCGCTTCCAGTACTCGCTACGAGTCCTGTCTTTGCACTCCATGCCACAGAGTAGATATCGCGGGTGTGCACCTTGGGTAAGACAGATGTGCATGTCCACTCTTCTCGTAGAGATCTCCGCATCGTATTGGGGATACCACCAAGAGCACCGGCACCACCTCCCGTACTGTTCTCCTCTGCCTCGTCATCCTGCTTCAGCGTCCACACCCGGATAGTGTTATCGGCAGAAAATGTCAAGAGTCGTGGGAAGCGATCTCCCTCCCGGGGTCGTGGCTCCCATTGGAGTCCCCAGACAGTGCCCTCGTGACCCTCGAGTACAGCAACACAAACCCATTCTGCATCGCCATCCTCTCGCCAGATGCGCACTGTATTGTCGTAACTTGCGCTGGCCAGCACATCGGCCGAGTAGCTGCGGCGGGCGTTGCGTCCAGGGACGTCGGGACACCAAGCAACAGCCTTGACATCGCCCTCGTGCTCATTAAGCACAGCGATAGTCTCCCACTCGTCGTCTTCCTCAGATGCGCCAATATCCTCCCATATCCAGACCGACTTATCACGCGAGCACGTAGCTAGATAAGAACCCGAGGGGCTGAAAGCGCAAGACTTGATCTCCGAGTCGTGACCCTCAAGCACAAGCGTAAACTCCCATTCCTTGTTGGCAGCATCGCCATCATCGTCGCTATCGTCATTGTTTTTCCTCCGCACGCTCTGCGCCGTGACCTCAACCTCCAGGCCTCCCTCGTTCTGTTCTTGACCCTCCCAGCGCCATATTCCAGCCGTAGAGTCAAAACTGCCAGTGACGAGACATAGGTTGCCGGGGCGCAGATGGGGTTTCCATGCGACGGAGCGGACGGAGCGAGTGTGGCCTCCGGTAAGGACGCTGTGGGCTGAGGCAGTCGAGAGAGAGAATACAGTAACGGCCTTTCCGTGAGCGGTTGCGATTAGAGGAAGAGTCGGGTGAGGAATCGAGGCCCAGGCGCGTTCGTGAAGGTCGGGTTTGAGGGGCGCAAGGGCAGTGATGGAGGCCGAAGTCGGCGCCATGATGAACGAAGCCGCGAGGGCGGGAGGACGATAATTGAGCGATTGACGACGATTTATGGAGGTTTTAGTGTATGGGAGTGTTGCCGACTGGAACGGGCTGTTTAATAATTAAAGTCGAGGTGATGATGTTGAACAGTTCAGTTGATTATTTCCCCTCCTTCAGTCAAAAGTTCGCAATGGGATGGATGGGGTTGAGTGATAAGATAGCGAGAACCCCTCCATTGAGTCAGTGACGCACTGAGTATGGATCTAAACTCATTTAACTTACAACCTGCCTACGGTAGACAAGCCGCATAAAAAAAGCAAACAATCATCACCTCAATTTTTACATAATGATTGATCACGTATAGATAAATGATACAACATCTAAGCCACCTTCGACTTGACCCATAACCAAACCTCCTTCACATCTCCTCCAGGCCTCAAATTCTGCTCCCTTGCTCTCTCAAGACCTCCCTTTTTGAACCCCCCCGGAAGAAGAAGCCATACCAAAGTAATAGCACCGAGGAGCCCGACTATTATAGGCTGTAGAACTTGAACTCCTGTCTTTTGCGCAATTGCACCAACCGCAAATGGTCCTACAGCTGCACCACCTCCTCCGACTGCAGCCGCGAACCCAATGGCACTGACGTGGTAATCAGCTGGGAGCAACTTGGTTGCAGCAACCATAGCAGCAGGGAACAGAGGCCCTAGGAAGAACCCAAGAAGCATGACGAAGATGACAGAGGCGACGAAGCTGGGGACAAGCCAATACAGCAGCTCCAACCCGATGGAGAGCATAAGATAGACCATGATGGCCGTCTTCTCACCAGTCCTCTCCGTGACGAAGCCCAAAACAACTCGACCCAATGTCAGCCCGAGCCAGAATAGCGTAACTGTCAAGCCAGCAAGAAAAGGTCTGGCATGTCGTACTCGAAGCATGAAAGTGACAATCCAACCGCCCAAGCTGACTTCAGTCGCGACGTATCCCAGGAGAAACACAGCAACTATCCAGGTGATGGGCTTCTTGAGTGCCATGCGTGTTGTTGCACGGTCTTTAGCTTCGTCGTAGCGAACTCGCTGTCGATACATCTGGCCGGTTGCACCCCAGAATGCAGCTGTTCCAACAACAAGTTCAACCACAGCAAGTCCTATCATGATATAATAGAACATGTACCAGTTAAGTTTTCCCTCAGTTACCATGGCAGAAGCAATCAGAGGACCAATGGTACCACCGAGGCCATAGGCGCCGTGGAGGAAACCCAAGAGTTCGTTGGCTCGGTGCATGTTACCGACCCAGGCATTGTAGCCACTATCTTGGATACCGTTACCGAAACCAGTAAACAGCATGACACAGGGTAGTGCTGGAAATGGAAGGTGAAGTGCCACAGGAATGTAGGCGATGAGGCGACAGAGAGGCCCAAGAATTGCAACGCCTCGTTGGCCTAGGGTGTAGTGTATCCAGTTGTTGGTGAGTGCAGCGACTACATAACCAGCCACAGGTACGAGAAAGAGGGTCGAGACGGTGGTGTAGTTGATGCCATAGTATATTTCAATCTAAGCACATTAGAAAAGAGTAGTAGACGATTCAGTAGAATACACGCACGTATGGTAGTAGAGCCTGTAGTGGTCAGTCCAAGAACCTCTGTCTTCAGGTAGTTACGGTAACCAACCAACTTACCCCTATGGATGCATCATTCATACCCATGATGAGGAACGAGAAGTTGGCGGCATAGTAACGACATGAGTTTATTCGAGGGCTATTCCAATGCTCAAGCTCATTGATTGACTCTCCGCTGTCGATCGTATCGGGCTGCTGCATGGCCTCCACAGAGCCCGATTTCTCTCCTAACTCGTCATGATTCTGTTGTTGAGTTTGCTCTATCTGGCAAGATTTCGAGTTCATGGAAGGATCAATAGCAAATCTAGATTTGATCAGATTGATTTTGCAGAATAATTACGTTGGAAGAGATGTGATGTCCCTTCATACAAGACCATGGTATATATGCAACGTCGGGGTAAATTTCTCGCTAGAATGAATAATTCATTCACCGCAACCATTCGGGTACAGTAGCAACAACCACTGAGAGATCCATAATTTGGCCAGTTGAGAGCATATCAACTCTGTTCAATAGACTATTGAAAAACGGCATAACGGGACGGTGGCCCGAAACATATGTCCAAGTCTAAGTCTAAAAGTCTAACACATCTTGTGATTCATTTTCAAGTCGACTACATTACATGGTAACATCAGCAGACAACTTTTTTTGTTCATTGTCTTTGGTGAAACTCGGGCATTTTCTACTGTAGTGTTTTGTGAGACAAGACATCAAAACTCATCACAGGTCGCATTCTCAATTTCAGAGGACGGTGACGATGAGGTCACTATGCTCCGACTTGTAACTTTTATGGCTAAAAACGGGTCAAGTTTAACTCGACCTCCTTTCGAACAAGTTTATTATATATGATTGGCTCTATTATCTGGGGTTTGAAAGGTTTGATATCAACTCCCACGGCCACCAACGTCTTATCAATCCATACAATAAAGTTCTCGAAATGATAGAGATAGGTAAAGTGATCTTCCCATGCATCCACGTTGAAATGAGGCTGTGCAACAACGAGCGCTACGCCACACGCGGGGTCTTTTACAACGTCATCGGCTGTCCGAGCACTCTCTTTACTACCTTAGCTACCAGTTGAGCGGGAGGCGGCTTAAAATACGACGTGGAAATGCCCAACGGTGCGCCTTGGACCAGGCAGTCCTACAAACCCCCATCTCGTGGTCTGTCTCATGTGGCTCGAAGAGACTTGTCGTCATCTGTTGTGTGATTGATAGATAATACCAAACTAGATATACAACCTTTCTGCTCTGTATCCTTAGATAACACCACTTACACATTTTCTCCTTACATCGCCAAAATATTAGACTACACAGCTGCTGCGCCACTCACCACTTCGGCTCTTAACTTATAATTCAGGTAGTCTGACTTGCAGCTACAGCACCTGTATTTGTCCTCATAAGGCTGACATCCGCCCACTGCTGAGGTGCCCTATTCACTTTTGTCCAGCCACATAAGCTTCCAACTTCCCCTCCTCGCCTACACCAAAATCAGCCGTCTCGCCCTATATCACTTTACACTCAAAGAAACCCCCATACAATGTCGAAAGACTACTACGAGTACGAAGAGTACTCTCGTCGCCGACGCGACTTTTCTCCCGACAACTACTCCGGTGGTGCTCCGGGCTCTCAGCAACAAGGCGCTCCTCCTTATGCCTCAACCTCCCGTCTCGATGACCCTTACTATAGCGGCATGCCTCCTCCCCCGCGGGAGCGCATGACCCTCGAGCCTCCCGAGTCACAGAACCGCCCACGATCTGTCCCACCAAACACTGCCATGGTCCGACGCAGCCGCTCTCGTTCCCGTCCTCCCTCCGATGACGAAGATTATGATGACAGACGGAGCTCGCGAAACCGCTCACAAAGTCCCGTTACCCGCGCTAAGAACGTCGTTGATGAGAATTTCTCTCATTCCGCCGGTGGCATTGGCGCCGGTATTTTAGGCGCTGTCGTTGGCGGTCTTGTAGCTCGCGAGGCGACTGAAGCAGCAACACGCCGCAAGCACAAGACCCGAGGGTACGAAGACGAGAATGAGGATCGCACTCGTCTCGTTTCCACCATTCTCGGCGCTGTGGCTGGCGGCCTAGGAGCCAATGCTCTCGCCAATCGAGTCGAGGATTCAAGGGAGCGAGACCGACGACGCCAACTCGACTGGGAGCGTGAGCGTAGCTACGTGCGCGAGCAGGAGATGCCCCGATACGAGCAACGGAGATCCAGTGATCGTGATAGGGAGAACGACCGCCGTGATCGTGACCGTGACCGGTATGATCGCGGCAGGGCACTACCGCAAAACGATGATGATGATTATGACTTTGTCTACGATGATCCGCGATACGAAGATCGAGAACCTAGGCGACGTAGAAGCGAGGACAACTATCGCTACCGCCAATAGCCCACCTGTCTTTTGACCTGTGGACAACCTATTGCTATTTCATTACGACTTCTCACGACTGTGTTTCCCTTGTTTTCTTCTTCTCTTGGTTTACGTTGAGTGACGGTTAAAAACTACGAGCGGTACTAGAAGTGTTTTCTACCACAGGCTGAACCATCAGTCGTTAACTTTTGGAGATCTTACGAGACATGATTTGGCGCCTCTTGGATATTTACATAGCTGATGCAGTTCTGTTTCTGAAATGCTCATGGTTTCATGTATTGCTTGCGTGTACTTATGAGAGTCTTTTGACACATTCTCGGGTTGCTCCTCTTATCGAATTTACAATTTATTCTCACACGATGATAACAATTATTACAGCTGAATCACCCGTCCTGTTTGCAACTGTTCAGCTCGATATGAAAGCTCGCAGTCCAGCCAATCCAATTCGATCGAAAGCAACGACCAAAATAAAACAAAAAAGACCCGCCACCAATAACAAACCAATCAATCATATGCCCCCCTGAACTGCTGTCCACCGTCGCTCACCCCGGCTGTTAGAATCCCTGCCATTACCTCCAGTGTGTTCTCGAGCATCCTGCTCTCGCTCCACGATCACCTTGAAGAACTTAGCTATGTCAGCAAGTGCGCGCTGCTGATAGTCTGGGACATCCAGCATTTTGAAGGTTGATTGTGTGTCAACCAACTGCTTTGCAATCACGGAATCTGGCTGGCAAAGTGTCCGGACACACATAGCTCTGGCATTGACCTTCATTGCATGCAAGAGTCCACCAATCTCGACGGGATCAGCTTGTCGGCGGCCATAGAAGCGAAAATCGTCGACATGGAGGTTGATCAGTTCAAGCTGCGTCTCCAGGTCGTAGCGAAAGCCAACAACCTTGGGTCGGCCCTTGTTATGCCACGCATCTGCTACTTTCTTGAGCTTGTCAGGCACAAGCCGGCCCTTGTCCAACTGCACCGTAATATAGTCATTCAATGCAGTGCTGAGGTTGAACTCCAGTTCGCAGTAGAGGAGGCTTTGCTCTCTGGCATTTAGTGAGATGGCGACCTGGGATGTTGGGCGAGACCGGATTGCGGACTGCGCCCGACGAGAAGTGTAGTGGAGCTCCGTCTGCGGTTCGGTTAGTACAAATATCTAACGCTGTATTATCTCAACATACCATGTCTTTTGCAAGTTTCTTGATGTTGTCCAAAATTCCGGTCTTCTTCTGGGGTGCCTTTGAGCTTTGGTCAAAGCCCCCGTCAGGGCGTTCGAGCCACCCGTTATCCCCAATCATTGTTTTCTCGCCCTTCTTGGAGCTAGGGTAGTCTGTTCCCCTGAAATATAATTGTAGTGGTGAGAATATAGGAGTGTCTTGAACAGTCCGATGGTAGTTGCTGTTTTTGGAGCTTACTGTTACGACTTGTGGAATTGGCGGCGAGTGTACTTCGATGGCTCGGGCCTGTCTCAGTCCATCGGCAGAGCTTTTTGACCGTCGAGGCCTGTTAACCAGAGCCTCTGGATGGCTTACCGACTCCCTGATCATGGAATAATCATGGCTCCTTTTCCACTCTTGGAAAGAACCCTCCCCGACGCCGTTGATTTTGGATTGTGACTTGACGTGACTGAGATGAAGAGGTGATGGACGGGCCGTTTGTTGAGTGGAGTAGACCGAAGAGGCATCATCATCAAAGATCGGCTCATGCTCAAAGCTTCCCTGGCCTAAAGGAGAGACTGCATCGGGAATATCTTCCAACTCGGCTGGTCGAGGCACAATCCCACTACGACGAATAGTCCCAAGCTGCAATGGAGACGGCGGGTTGATGTGTCGACGTTCCGCTAAACTAGCAGAGAACAAGTCCTTGGAAGAGCCCGAATGGCGACCGGGCATAAGCTCCGAAAAGGTTGGAGAATTCACATCAGAGGGACCATCTTCTCTAGTAGTCCAACCATATGAATCCTCATGCTGTAGAATTCTTGGTTTGTTCCTTCGTGGTGTTGATCTTGGAGTCGTTCTTGGAGGGGTCATTGTAGGCTTTATCTTGAGTTTAGCAGCCTTCGTTGGGCTCTTGTCGACTTGATGACTGAAGCTACAAGATGTTTAGTAAGAGTAGCGATGAACAGAAATCATTGACATACGCGTCCGTAATCTTGTCAACTTGGCTCTCAGTCAAGTTCATGCGAATATGAAGTGGTTGTTTGACAAGACGCTTGCGCAGAGATAGCGAGCGTGCTCGCGACTCGAAGCCAGGTGAGATATCCAGGAAATCCCCTCTTAAAGGTGTCAATCCAGATGCTGAAGGGTCAGAGTAGCGCCCTCTATTCGAACTGTCTTGTTGCATCGAGTCCAGAACCTCGAATCACAGTAGCCACTTGATAGTAGCTCCGAGTGATCCAGGGTGATGGTGTTATATCACCGTGGAGAATCAAACAAAGTATTGAGACGAAAGCCGAAAATTGAAAAGAGAAAGAGAAAAAAAACAAGCAAGGTTGTCATCGGTGAATGAATGAATCAGGGACTGCGGGTGGTCCAGTTGAAAGTTTGGATGCTGAATTGCTGTCAGCTGGCAACAAGTGCCAACGATAAGCCAACACTAGCGAGCTCCTGAAGAGACTTTGGGGGTTCTATACCGCTTCATTGCAGTCTTATATATGTTACCTTTCTGTCAAATTTAACCAGAAGTCTGCTGCAAGGTTTGTTTGAGATGCTCACTGAAATCATGTGCTCGTCACAATGTAGGATACACTGCAACATGGCCTAGAGCATCATATGTAGCTAATGTGAGCTGTGTTTCCATCTGTAGTCAATGCCGCTGTCGAACCAAAGCTGAGGCGTAAAAGGGCCGCGAAACCTCCATGAGTATATTACCCCTTTCGTTGGCGAGGCAGTGGCCATATCCATTGCTCTATCTTCGGCGACTGGTAGTTCTCTAATGAAAGGTGGAAGCGGTTTATCGCTGGTGAATAACCCAAACTTCCGCGCGAAGTTGGCGTTGGGTATTTCGCAGTCCCTGACATGAGCATCGAACTGCTCTTTGAATGCATCGTGAGCCAGAATTATGGAGTGATCATCTTGGGTCAGTGTGTGCTTTTGATTCTCTCTCTTTCCGTTCTGCTTGTCTGTCGCGCGTAACATGCGTATAATTTGAGTCATCTTCTCCTGACTTATGATCTTCGAGCTTAGGGATCGACGGTGGTGAGTTCGCTCATTCTGTACCTGAGGCTTTTCTGTGTTTCTCCTTTCTGGTAGTTCGCCAAGGTCAATTGACTTTTCACCGACCAGTCTGCCCTTATGAATCATATTCTCATTCCATTGCATTTCGTGAAATTCTGTGGCCTTGAGCTGACGGAACGCACGAGTGCCCCCGTCGCGAGATGAAACATACATTGTATGTTCTATCATCCAGTTCTTTCGTACACCGATACCACTTGGGTAAAGAGATGACCTTGCTATTATAGGTGAGTAGTCTGAAAGCCGAGTGCGATATCTTTGAGGGTGGCTTTTCCTCCACTGTATCAGGGCAGTTGTCGGTATAATATTGGATGTAACAGTCGTGAGGTGTGGGACATGAGGGAGTTCGAGATCAGCCTGCTCCTTGTGTCAGAACTAATAGTTGCCACGAGTCCAAGTGATGTTTTCCGCACATGTCTATTCAGGTGATCGTGTCTCCAACGCTGAAATGCTGCGCCTGGGTCGTCTGAATAATGGCAATCGACTTCAATCATCTCGTAGAGTACGCCCCCTGCGTGCCCAAGGAACTCATCGCCCAGGTGGTTTCGCAATACTAGGAAGACCTAGATCACGTCAGAAAGCATTCTTCATCGTTGTGTGGGCATCTGACCAGCCGGATTCCGTCACGGTACTGGTAGTTGCGAGGTACGTGGGTGCAATATCTCACGAGAACGTTGCGACATTCTGTGTGGTGTTTGTCAGTCGATGGCCTGAGTTTATATCATGCCTACACTGACTCTCTTCGTCAAATATGTCTGTGATGTTGACCGACTGGTCTCTGGCGAGATACGCGGAAAACTGTGTGGTATCATCCATTCCAATGTCACCGGGTCTTGAATAATCGTTCTTTCAAATCCGAAGAGCAGCAGATAAGCCATGCAAGGGGTCATTCACGATATATACGGTGTATGCGACATTCAATATAGATGAACTCTTCAGATTGTTGTACGGGGAAGATCACATTATGAAGGTGACCTCAACAAGGCGGAAGGCGCACCTTGAGCTTGTTCTCCCAGTGCAAAGACACTCGTGATGTACACATCGCCCGATGCTGCTTGTTGAAAGAATAGCGACTTCCATTTTCGAATGCTCAGCACTAAACACACGACAGGGAAGTTCAGAGGCAGAGTTCCTTCTACATGTGACTCCAGGGTAGTCGTTTATGTAGGTCCCTTAAGGTTCAGAAAATGGTTGGCTGAGGTAATGGAAAGCAATTCTGTATCTAAAGTGGTATCTGGGTCGGTGGGTTTTCTAGCATAAAAACAATCAAGCCGATGAGTCGACTCACGCCTCTCGTTTTTACTGATTTGACATTCACAGTCATCCAATCCAACTAATATGGTAAGACTCAACAGGAATTCCTTACACAACGTAAATTGTAAACAGGACTAGGTCCTTCTCATCTTCATTCGATAAAACCCCCGTCAATTACTAACGCCAGACCGTTCATTGTCAGAAAGGATCGGATCTTGGAGATATGAGATCTCGGCCTGCTGCCCGGCATTCGAAGGGCCCACTTCCGGACGCTGCAATGCGCCCTAATCTACGTGTACAGTTAAGATACGTTAAGATCTGGCCCTATCTCACAGCTCAACACTAACAGGGTCCATCGTCACCCGGCGCCCCTGCAACCGAAACAAAAGCCGGACCCGGTTGCGGCTTCCCGAAATCAACTCCCGATTTCCCAAATAGGCAGTCTCGATTCCCTGTCTCCTCTTTGCCCCAGAAACCCCACACTCAAGACAGTTGGACCCCATGACGACAAGTCATTATTCGTCTCGCCAAACCACGAAGCGGATATTTTCCGTTGGCTAGAACATTTCGACCAGAATCTCTATCTAAAAACAATGCACTCCACATCCCGTACCGAAGTCTGATGCCGTCAATTCCCCTCGGGTCTGAATCGCACCGGACTTCTGCTTACTGCATGTCCGGCCAGACCCCCGGCATCTCTGGATATCATGCCTATCGCATTTAGCATATAATATGCGACCCCCCATCGACTCTGCCTCTTGTTTCCTCAGATTGATCACATTAGTAGATAACCAAACCACACCTCTTTCTCTTCTACACCATGTCTCAATCACAGTCCGATCGCTCCCCCTACTATGACATTGGTGAGTCTGACACTGTTAGCTATACCAATTGAATTCTAACATCAATTCTGCTAGTCATTGTTGGAGCTGGCCCTGTCGGTCTCATGCTCGCAACATGCCTTGCCCGCTGGGGTTACAAGATCAAGCATATCGATAACAGAGCTGAGCCGACCCCTACCGGTCGAGCCGACGGCATTCAGCCACGCTCCCTGGACCTCCTTCGCAACATGGGCCTGAAGTCAGCAATCATGGCTCACCACCCAGCTCGCGTTTATGAAGTTGCCTTCTGGGACCCAGCTTCGTCAGGAAAGGGTATCGCCCGAACTGGAACATGGGCCAGCTGCCCTGACTTTATCGATGCTCGATACCCCTTCACAACCTTACTGCACCAAGGTCTGATCGAACGCGTCTTTATCTCCGACCTTGAGAAGAATGGAGCTCAGGTTCAGCGGCCATGGACAATCAAGGGCTTTACATCTGATGAAAAGTCTAATCCCGAATATCCTGTCACTGTCGAATTGGAGCATGTCGATGGTACTGCCCAGGAGACCATCCACGCCAAGTATTTGTTTGGTGGCGAGGGTGCAAGGTCATTTATCCGCAACCAGCTTGGCATTGCCGTTCACCACAAGGACCCTATCGCCCATGTCTGGGGTGTCATGGACGGTGTCGTGAAAACTGACTTCCCTGATATCAAGGTAAGCTTAGCTTCTCAACAAGCCCTGTTTCATGGCTTACTGACGATTCTCAGATGAAATGTACCATTCATAGTGAGCACGGCTCCATTATGGTCATTCCACGAGAGGACAACATGGTCCGTCTTTACATCCAGATTGCATCCTCTACAGATCCCGATTGGAATCCCAGACGAACAGCCACCGAAGAGCAAGTGCAAGAGTCGGCCAAAAAGATCTTGCAGCCTTACTCCATTGAGTGGGAGCGCGTTGAGTGGTATTCCGTCTACCCTATCGGACAAGGCATTTCAGAACGATATACTTTGGACCAGCGAGTCTTCCTTGGTGGCGATGCTTGCCACACACATAGTGTAAGTCCTACCGTGCTCTTATTATCACCACGCGTTAACACAGTCACAGCCAAAGGCTGGACAGGGAATGAACACAGCATTCCTTGACGCACAGAACCTTGCCTGGAAGATCCACGCCGTTGAGTCCGGCTTCGCCAGCAGGGAAATCCTCAAGACATACGAGACGGAACGCAAGCATGTCGCCGAGTCTCTCCTCGATTTTGACAACCGATATGCGAAGCTTTTCTCTCAGCGACCACCCGCCGCTGCCGAGGTCCAGGCCGCATCGGCCAACCATGGCAAGAACGATGCTCAAGATAACGAGTTCATCAATGCTTTCAAGGAGTCATGCGAGTTTACTAGCGGATACGGTGTTTACTACAAGCCCAACGTCTTCAACTGGTCACCAAAACATAATGCACAGTCTCCACTGATTCACCCCAAGGGGACCAAGCTACGAACCGGCCGCCTTTTCATCAACTCGAATGTGACGAGAGTAGTTGACGCCAACGTTGTGCACTTGGAGCAGGAGGTTCCCTTGAACGGCGCGTTCCGACTTTTTGTCTTTGCAGGTGTCCCATCAAAGACTCGCCAGGCTTTGAAGGATTTCGCCAATCACCTCGGTAGCCAGCGATCATTCTACGCGGCTTATCAGCGGCCCGATCTCGACAAGGTCTCATACCACGAGAAACACTTGCCACACAGCCGATTCTTTACCATCTCCACGATCTTTTCGTCCAAGCGACCTGAAATCGAAATCTCTCGCGACGTGCCCGGAGTGCTTGCCCGATATAGGGATCACGTTTACGCTGATGACCGGTCCGATGCACGATTCCCTCAGGCGAAGGCTGTAGCCCATGCCAAGATGGGCCTTGATGAAGAGCTTGGCGGAGTGGTCGTTGTCAGACCTGATGGATACGTAGCAATTGTGGTCAGTCTTGTCGAAGGTAGCGGAACAGTGGATGCTTTGAACGAGTATTTCTCGACTTTCTGCACAAAGAAGTTGGGGTCTACTCTGGCGCAGCTGTAGGAACAGCATTGAAGGGATGGAGACTGTTGAGTCAAAAGGTTGTTGAGAGGCGCTGATTTGACGTAAATGATTGCTTTAGCGAATGTACATATGGTGTTTAGATCATCTTACAATTGAAGTTACTGCATAAGTATACAAAGAACAGAATCTCTCGGCGAAGTGAGTTGAGAGGTGGCCATGCGCCTCTACCTGAAGTTCAGCAAATTAATTGCGAACCATGTCATTGCATATCCGTAGATGCCAACAAAATCGGATATCCTTGGACATGGGGACGAATTGATCGAGAGCTTTGCTTTTAGGAAACATTTGAGATCGATAGAAGTTAGCGTTGGCTTACTATGGTCTTTGTCCCAGAAAGGTCTTTACCTGAGCCTATTCTAAGAACCATTAACAGGTACCAAGGGTAAATTCATAAACTTTAGGAAGGGGTCTTTGTCCTAGGTTTATTTTTAGATACAAGATCTTATCTAAGTTGGTAAGTTACCTAAGGAAGGGAAGGTAGTTGTCCAGAGTCTCAGGATTGATCAACCGAGATATCCTCAAACGTCTCATTCCTACCCTCGCGTGCTCGGAAGATCTAGATTGAATAACAGCAACATCCGTCACTCTCATCCTACGATGAACGATATTGGCTCCCAAGGTCATCCAATTAACTAAGTGCATCTGACCAATCGCGGCGACGTCACGCGTAGCCCCACCTCACCTGTCAGTGCGGGCGCACTGACCTCCACCTGCAGGTCCTGAGAGGCTGAGAGGCTGAAAGACTTCACCTCTTTCACCTGACCACTGTAGGCAACCTTCTACAGCGACCTCATCCCCTATGGGCTTGCGCGGTCGTGATGGCATCACCGGAACGATTTGGATAAAGGAGAACTAATTGGGAAGTGGCTGCAGCAGCACGACGCGCCGCCATTGTTGTCGCGCTCACGCGTCTTGGGCCCGAGCTCGAGTGATCTGGCGTGGTAGAAAACGAACTCGACTCTTCGACTCGAACCCTCCTCCTTTCTTCTCAACATCAACTGCAGCTTCGATCAGCTTCGCTTTGACTCGTAACTTCAATTCTTGTAAGAACAATTCCGCATTAGCTTCGCAGCTTCCCGATTTCGCTTTCGATTCACCGCTTGTACTTTACATTTGACACTTGACACTACTCGACACTGCTCAACTGCTTGACACTGCTTCACACTTGCTGGCACCTGCACCACGGTTTGCTTCTGCTTCATTGTCACTGCGATACAATACAACAACAGCAGCACGTTGCTAGTAGCCCGGGTTACTTTGTTGACATCGCATTTTCCTGTTGGCTGTTTACTTCCTTCCTCGTTTTCCAACTGGATCACGACAACTTCATTCACCCCACTTCACTTCTCTTCCACTTCTCTTCTTTTTTTCACGAACGCGACTGCTTCGGCTGGACCAAGTTCCACATTGCTCTTTCTTAATTTCACTTCAAATCCACCACTTCAAGCTCATCATGTCTTTCTCGTTTCATTCGCGCATTTCGGTGCACCAGTCCGCTAATCGAAACGGAAGCCCCGTGCCTTCGCAACTTGTGGAAGCTGCCGAAAGGCGACGGGAGCGACGGCAGCTACAGATTGCCTCCAAGGCCAAACCAACTACCCAGGTCCAAGTTAGCTTGCCGTCGCCAAAGGTTGAGTTTGTTACTCCTCCCAGGCAGATCAGGCGGCCTACTGCGCGTCTATTGATTGACTCACCACTTCCGTGCCGCCAAGTTTTTGAAGATTCCGTTCTTCGCAACAGATTCGTTGCCACAGATTCTCCGGTCCCTATTCATCTTGTTAGTAACAAAAAACCACGAACTAAATCAAAGGCCGAAACTGTCAACACGAATGACGAGGCCCCCAACACACCCACACCCAAAACTACCATTACCTCTATCTCTGATCCCAATCTTGTTGTTGTCGATGGCATACAGACACGCAAGCGTCGCGCCCAATATACTGAGATCGAACTTGTTGCCGCACAGATCGGCGTCACAGATACCACAAACACCATCGTTACTCTTCGCGAAGGAGAGACAGTTCCTAGCGAGGAAACTGGCCAACAGGCCCAAGTAAGTCCATCCCTCGTTATCTGCATGCTTGCCTTACTGACCGGATACCACAGACCTCAAACCGTATGCTCGGGATTACACCGGGCGCCAGATCTATCACCAGGATGATATCTAGCATCTATTCGGCCTTCACAGGCATTGGTGAGACGATCAGCAGAATCAGTAGGTTTAACTTCACATTAAATTGATAGCCTTATGTTCCGTCTGTGCTAACCCATTACCAGTACGGCCTCAATCCTACCAAATTGCTGAATGTCGCTCTTATTTGAGTGAGAACCAGGTCAGCAACAAGCGTGTTAAGATTAGCACCAGTCGTGATGACAACGCGGCTTCCAACACCGGCGCTACTGATCAGAGTGCTGGACTCTACTGGCTCGACCGAGATGGCCTTGCCACATTGATGGCAGACTATAAGCACTTTTCCAAGTCCCTCTCGACAGTCTGGGAATGCTTTGAGCGAGGAACTCGACAAGAGGCAAACAAAGACCTGGCACCACTAAGCACCCACATAGTCGATGCCAACGATCGTCATGCATTGTACAATGGGCAGGCCCATGACTTTTACGAAATCTTCACTTTGCAACTGGGGCGGATGTTTGACCACTTGGATAAAATCTACGAAATCGGCGTTATCGTCAAGATTCGGGACAGCAACGAATTTGTTCCTCCCGTCCTTGACTACGCACTCCCTACAGAGTTCGCCGCACACCTCGAATCGATTAAGCACTTTCTATCCGGCCCAGCACTTCCTGTTGTTTGCAAGAATATCCTAAGGAAGCATGGGGAGAATGACTGGAATGTTTCACAGGCATTCCTGGACCGAGTTGTGCTTGATATTAAGGCTATCCTTCGCAACCTTCCCGCTCCAAGTTACGTTGACTCTGAAGAGTATCGTGGCAAGCTACAAGCCATGTTCCCTACTCCACCACGAACTGACCTCGAGACGCGTTTCTTACTGCCAGGATCATTTCCTGAATTCGATGAGCTTAAGGAGCGTATCGATCAAACTCTCGATGAACAAACTGCTTCATCCACTGAGGAAGCAGCTACAGAACCCGCCGTTCAGGCTGCTCTACCTGAGCCAGTGCCGTCGTCCCCTCGCCCTGTTGTCCCTCGCCCCAGCTACTTCAAAACAGACTTTCTTCGCGTTGAGTTTGCTCACAAGAGTATCAGTCGGATAACACCCGAGGATTACCGCCAAACCTTTTACGAGGAAAGCAACGAACACCAAGCCCTAAAAAACCAATACATCACCGACTTCACTCCCAAGATTCCTCTTACCTCAAATGAAACCGTAACTCTTCGATCCATCCTTCGGAATCGACGAAAGCATCCGTCAAAGGTCACGCCCAAACGTCTTGGCATAACGCGCCGACCCAAGGCTGTACGCTTTACGGACGATACCATCAGTCCGAAACCAAGAACACATCTGGGTCTAGATGTACCCAAGAAGATCAACTACAACGGACAAACGGGAGAAGTCATTCCTCCGACCGAGGAATTTCAGGAGCAACGCCCTGATTGGGCTCGTAGATGGCTCAACATACCACCTGCTCCCGCCGAGGAGCCACCCAGAAATACCACATTCAATCCTTTTAGCGTTGCTGACTGTCTCCGCCGTCGCCGCTTAGAAGAGGACGATGGACGTGACTTTAATGCACGCATCAGAGATCTATTTGATCTTCCTTCCCTAGATCTCCAAATCAGCGATGACTCAAAGGCCGGGATTGACCATGAAGTCGAAGAGGCCACTCAAAGAGCTGCTGAAGAGGCTCGTTTGGCTGCTGAGGCAGCGCAGCGTGAGGCGGAGGAGAGGGCTCGACTAGAGCGCGAGGAACGCCTCGCTCGATCTGGAGGACTTCGCGAGCCTAATCAGACATTCGTTGCACCGGTCTCACCGGAATGGCACACAAGGGCAATGAACACACTCAATGCTGCATCGTCCACCTGCCTTGCAAAGTCTGCCGAGGGCGTTGACCTCCGAAAACACGACTTTGCCAAGATCGTGTCCTCAACCGAATGGCTCAACGACGAAATTGTCAACGCATCTCTTGTCTGGCTCGATCGAGCTATCAACTCAGCTGCCGGCATTAAGGATGTCAAGCGGAACACTCGCAAGATCTGGACCCCGGGCTCATTCTTCTTCAAACGCCTTCAAGATCAGGGCACCGGTAACACCCAGAGGACACTGCGCCGATACGGCATCGAGAAAAGAAACTTTCTCGACATTGACACCATCCTCTTACCCATTTGCGAGCATTCCCACTGGACATTGCTCGTTATTCGTCCCTCCAAGCGAACAGTTGCCCACATGGATTCGATCAATGCAGGTGGCAACCGTTCTTACACCACGCGTGCCATGGCGTGGATTCGAGACATTTTGGAGGAAAAGTTCATCGAGGATGAATGGAAGATCATTCTCCACGAGGCTCCTCTACAGAACAACGGCCATGACTGCGGTGTTCATACTATCACCAACGCTATGTGCCTCTCCTTGGGTATTAGCCCCATCGAAGCATATTCTGCAGACGATATGCCCACACAGCGAATCCGCATCGCCTGCATGCTTCTCAACGGCGGGTTCACAAATGACTTCGACCTCCGAGTTTACTAGTATTCGAATACCACGTATCGAACAACACTCATCAAATAAAGACTACTTCATTATGGCTTATGGAAGAGGTAGGCATGGCTTTTTTGTCCAAGGCGTTGAGGCAGAGAAAGTACCAGGGAAAGTACCGGGGAAAAGTGTTTAGGGCGAGATACCACAGCATTACATTGTAGGAGTTTAGTTATTTTTTGATCCACGAAGGGACGAGTGTTGGTTTAACCCAGTCACAGTACTGGATGAATAAATACAATACTCAATACTCAATTTTCTGTGCCCTGTCTCATAAAAGCATACTCAAGAATTAGGAGCCTTTATAGCCTATGAGAAGACTTACTGCTTCTCATGGTAATGTTATAGAAGTTGAGCATAAATAACATTCTAGGCTCCTTTCCCCGTCACAACCTCTCGTCTGCAACGGACAGCAACCGGGGCATGCTGTACGTGGCTTGTAATCAATCCCAACCCCAAGGAGACGGGAGACGATGGGTTCTGGGCACTCTTGGGCAGCCTCTACCGGATTTTTGGTGCAGTCTCGAAAGAGAAGTGCAAGCCATGAACTAACTACATGACGAAGTCAACCATCACGCGGATTTCTGGACCATTGGCGTGCCATTGTATTCCGTATTCTCTTACGTATAGCTGCAAAGTTGTCAGCCATAAGCGAGCGAGCTCGGATAAACGAGCCTCAGAGACAACAGCAACAACGGGTCTGTGATGCCATCCCCCACAACACTACAGGCCAAGTGGGCAACGCGTGGGCCTCTAGATCTGGGGCCAAAGTCATGTCCTGTCCTATGCTCTGTCTCGTTCCTTTTTACGTTACAGTTACGCCGAGGTCGGCCATTGACAAGTTCTGCTGTCAATATCTGACCCAGACAACACACAGCCCACTCGCTTGGACAATGAAATAGTTGGGTCAACCCGGGAATTTCTCATGGCCCAAGCATGAGTCAATAGTAAGCGCTTGAACAGGTGTTTCTATTATTGATTGGATTGGGAGGACAAATCTTGGGAAAGCTTGGCAATGGGATTCTAGAAAGACTGAAGAACGGCTGTGTTAGCAAACAGATTCCGACAAAGAAAGTTCGGGTCAACAAGGAGGCGTTAGAGTAGAACTGTTGGCTTCCATGTTCCACCAAGCCCGAAAACCTTAACATATCCGATGCCCATGCAAAGACAAGAAAGAAAGACCAATGTTTGCAGACTTGCGTGCTTGCTGGGTTGGTTCAGGAACTTCGGGCCAGCTCAAATTAAGGTAGGGTAGGTATCGCATCCATGGCCACGGTGCGCCGACACTAGTAGACGCGTGGTGATCCAGGGTCCTCAGCCGCAGGGCACTATTCGATATGTGGAAGTGGTTTTGCCACAGGCAATGCACCAGAAAGAGGCGGATCAAGAACTAGGACCCGTTGATATCCACGCCCCAACTCACTGACGATGGCCGGTTCTACTGTTTGGACGACAATGAAATGAAGGCAGAAGGTTTCCGTTTGTTTGTCATGCGCGCGGGTCTGCTGTAGACGAACCAGACCTCAACAAGCCAGATGTCTGTCCGTCTGCCCTGAATGATACAGTACGGTACCAATGGGGGTGGTGCTAAACGATGTTACCCTCGTCAACTTTACCGCCTGTTGGATGGATATGTATGATTATGAGGACCAAGTTTAGGGGCCCTGTACCTCTGAGCGTCGCGTCGCGTCGACAACTACCGGTAACGACTCTGTGTAGGAAGGATACGGAGTTGGTCCGTAGGGTCATCGTCGATTCCTTTCGCGATCCTTCTACCGATGCGGACCGATCTTGGAAAGAATTAGAGACGCCAGGGATACGGCACCATATTAAATGTCGCAAATGTAGACGGCGTCGTCCGCTTACTGGGCCGCGCGCTGGCCGTGGGGGGCATCGCACCGCGTCTAGCCTGTATGCCAGCAATGCGATGCGATGCGATATGACTCTTCAAGAGACGACGTCGTCCAAACGGTATCCTCTTCTGATGCCCGTAGCCTGGGTCCCGACTCATGCCGCCAGCTTGGATGCGAGATGCCTGTGTCAAGCAAGTTCCGGGCCGTTGCAGCGGCAGAAGCTTCCTGACATGGATGGTCTGGCTGCAAAACTGGAGACGGAGACAGACACCGGCTATGGAAAACCGATAGTTCCAATAAAAGCTTCGGGGCTTCGAAAAAGTCTTCTGGAACGCGCCGAGAAGGGAGGCTGCGGAATTGGCTGAATCTGGGTCCAACTCTGCCGGGGCGACAACGAGATCGTGCGCTTGTAGGGAATCTGATACGACAAAGAATTTTTCTCTGCTTCCAACCTTGCGTTGGTGGTGAGAGATGGAGACACGGCGAGGCCGGTTGGTGTTGATGAGTGGTGACACTCCATCCAATCCAAGGTTCCATTAGCAAGGGTGATGTGGGTGTGGTTCGTGTAAACGGCGGGCACTCTAGCGCCGTTTGGTCAAATTAGGAAGGCTTCCAGAACGAAATAAAACGGAAGCAGAAGCCAAAATGTTTCTAGAAGGATTCCACCACGGAAGGCTTCCAGAATAAGCCACCAACAAACCCGACAGCTTCAGGCCCGGCCAAGAGAAGAGAAGCATAGCATCTCCTCATTCGGTTGACATTCTGTCACTTTCATTGTTGACACGGTCCGTGCTTTTGCTCCGTTGCCTGACGTTCGTTTATGGCCCTGTTTGTTGGCCTGCATTACCTATATCCATCCATGGCTGTTGAGCACAACCGACAAGGTAGTTGAAAGAAATGGTGTACCGCACCGTACCGTACTGTAAAACATGGCTTCCTGCATTACCCGAAACCCTGGCATACACGATGTAGCATTCTACCAGAGTTCTCGATGTCAGCAGGATGAAATATTGGGCACAATCGTAGTGCATGCACTCGGGTTTGGTTCCTACGAGAACACTTGTCAGGGTCAATATGTCCACTCGCAAAGTGTGGCTGCCCTTGGTGTATTGTCGATGACGGCTGCTGGGCATTGAAAACAAATGTGGTCCTTTCTCCTGTTACCGCAACCTATCGTCAGTCGGTCCCTTTGGGGTTACACAAAGTTTTCACCTCAGTGTGACTGATATCGCCAAGCCATGTCTAAATGTACGGCTATGTTGACAATTCAGTGTGAGGCGAGATTAGTAACCTACCTCTTCATGCCTACCTATACCGAGAATCAGAAATTATGGTTAACATCATGAGACAACTTGATGATAGGGGTAAGACTTGAGATTCAACACATACAAACACATACAGCATCATGTCTGTTTTCCTTCTCAGAGATTCCCCAGTGTCAGTCCGTTTGCAAAATCAAGTCTCAGCCCTGTGCCACCCCCATCAGATCAACTCAACGAGGCTAGACCTGCTAAAAAAACGTTTTGTGACGGGACTGAGCAGAATGACGGCATGGTCCATTCCAAGGGATGCCTCCACATTCTTGTCCCTTAGAGGTGTCTCCCATCAAAGGCCAATTGCAGCAAAGACAGCTGGGGCTTGCTTATTGCACAAGAATTGGTGTCGGTATGTGGGCGTGGATCACTGTCATCATGATCGTCAGCCAATGCTTTCTTCCATCAGTATGCGTGACCAGTCATCAACCACTGCAGTTTGCTCTTGCGTTGAGGGCTCAACCGACTTTCGTTGGCCTGCTGAAATGATCTTGTCACCCTAGGCTTGAGGACAATTTCCACAATCATATGGCGCCACCATGTGGTCAGATGTGCTGTTGGATGGGTCAGAACTCCACTGATGAATGCCGGCCCAGTCAGAGATATGATACTTCAAAGAAGAAGCGCAGGGCGTGCTAAGATGAAATTCCTGTGCCTTAATATGACTCGATGCTGCAGTTCGAGTCAAGGTACCTGATCAAAGATCGGGTATAGCACGGTCAGGAGTCGACATCGTGCATATCTATATGTTCATTGTCAACCCATGATATCAGACTATTGTTTAGGATCTGTACTCACTACCTACTTTGCAGCCATCACTGGAAACGGAGACATCTCTGGCCCCCTAGAATACGACACACAAAGTAATGGAAAAGAAGTGTTTTGATGGTCCACCTCACGCCGCAATTCTTTCGTCTAAGCGCGGCTATTCATGGCGTTTGTTCTCTCAACCCGTGCTATCGCGCAGTATCAATCGGTCACCTTGTTGCAGAAGGAAAAGAACCAGGGCTTGCTACTGCATTGTACAGAGCCGTGATTAATCCAGTAACTCGCAGTTTGAGGCTCTTTCAGGCGACTCGGCATCTCTCCCGGCCTCCACTACTTTATGAGGGAGGGTCGGTCGTGCTGCAACATTCACCGACCTTTCACCCTTTGACCATTGCATTGTGCCCAGGGGCTAGCAAACCATGGAGGAGACGGTCTTTGCACTCCTGTCATCTCATTGTGCCATGTATCCAGCGCGGGCGAGACAGATGCCGCTGTGGTTATCAGAATCGCTCGGAGTCGAGTGGTACGTAGCAAACCCGGACGGCTGGGCAGGATGGCGTTCGCTTGTTTAAAATCTCCGAGGGCTGATAAGATTGGCTGAGAATACAAACTGAGAAACAGCCATATTTCCTACCTTAGAGAAGTGCCTGAGTGCTATGGGACGGGAGCTTGGAGAAGCCCGGTTTCCTTGCTTTGCGCGCCATACAATTAATGACATGACCAATAGGGATAGCAGGATGTTCTCATCGCGATCGGCCGAGCTACCGCCCTCTAGCGTCAAAGCCAAGATGGATTTGAGGGTAGAAGGTCCAGTCGCAAGGCCTTGTCTCTCGCGCCGTCGCTCTGTTGCAGGGGGTTTGAGAGTGGAACACTCCACTAAATTAGAGGCTCATGAGGGGCACCTGGTACTCAAGGACGGCATTTGATTGATCTTGTGAGAGGGCTCGAGGAGGATCCAAATTAGAGGTTTGAGATGGCGGTTGATAACAAGGCAGTAAACCACTGCCAAGAGGTCATCGACTTCCATAGCAAAGACTGTCAGTGATGAGAGGGGCGACTAACATAGCGTGCGTGCCTACTAATCTCACCTGTTGATGGGTGGATGATAACGATGGTCTTGGAGACGGCAAATGGCACCCATTTTCATCATCTTGGAAGCTGGGTGATGCTTTGTTCGTCACTGATCACACATTCGCAAGGCAAGGTATGCACGGTAGGTAATGTTGTGGTTGTGCGCAATCTGCACACCACTTTTTCGGTATTAAGAAGACAGTCGATGCAATGCAACCAATGCATGCACTGCAGATGATAGCTGCTATCGAGCTCTCCTTCTAACGTTACGAACTTGATATTGAGAGACATGCTATTTGCTGCATGGGAGGTGTGACGCAGAGGTTAATGCTGGCTGCCCAAAGCAGTCAGGTCAAGGCCAAGAGAGCGACAGACTAGACCCCGTCGATGACGATCCCGCCTTGGTTCTTGGTTGCCCACTCGTCCATCCATGATCCATCCATTCGAGGGAGATCACTCATCACTCACGGCTAGGGCTAATTAATTTATCTTGGGGTGTAAATCTCCCGTTATTGCATGGCATGGTGATCCTCGGATCCAGCCTTTGAATCCAAAGGGCAATACTTCAACTAGGTATCGCAATAAACCATCATCACAATATGGTGGACGGGAGAATGAGCACACCACAAATCATTAATTTAAAATGTCCACCTTTCATGGTGCGCATTCTTCTTACAAAAACCATCGATCCATTCATTCCGTCACAAAGGGCAATTGGGGTGAGAGCGTGCGGGGAAATCTGCCACCATTAGCTCGTCATATTATCCCCGCGCCGATATTGCATAATGAGAGTGCATTGCGATGGCGTGTTATGTTTGTGTTTACCTCTGCTGCATAGGTATCTATCACCTTGTTCTGGTAGATCTAATTCACCTGAGTGGCCGACCACTGCGATCGAGATGACAACGACTATAATTTCGTGAGGGTCGAGAATAGACCACCAAGAGATCAGAGAGCAAAGACCAGAAAGAAATAAACAAAGAAACAAACAAAACTTGGCAGACAGACCCCATTGAGCCTCCACCATTAGCCACAATTCTGCCCTTCCTAACCTTCTAGCGTGATTCTATCGATATCTCCAGGGTGTCTGATCTGACCGACGGATGGGATGATCAAATTCAAGACAGCAAGTTTACGTTTGCATCTCCTCAGTGGAGCTTAACCAACCCGCGTTCCTGTCGATGGTGCTCAAGCCTCAAGGAGCCAGGCCATCGCCCGTTACATTGCACGACACGGCACTTCACCGTCGGCTGTGTTGTGCGTGCTCCCTTTGGCCCGTCCATTGCAAACATTCAGGGTTTCCCGATTCTTAGTGCCACTGCGTCACGCTCTGCCGACTAATTTGCCACACTCAGTCACTCTGTCCCGTGCTCGAGCCTCACAGTCCCCACGCGACTTACATAATTCTGGCCTCAGCTCCAGTACCCTTCGGCGTTGTCCGTGACTTGGGTTAGAAGACTCGGTTTTTTTTCGTGTCTGGTTTTTGCTTTCATGAGCCTTGCTCTCTTCAGTCAGCCACGTGCCTGAATCAGGGGACTTTTTCTGACTCCCTTGCGTGTGTCAGGTTATCAAGGGCCATGTCTAGCATGTTGTCGGTTATCTACGCTGCCTAGAAAGCGCCTTTCTCCGGCAAACGTTTGATGATGCTGTGATGCTTTAGGCAATTCATCGTTCTCTAGATCATACTTCATAACGGCTTGTAGAGTTTATCTTGGTACTTTGTACTAGCTAAGTCACGAGGCTGTGAATGTTCCAAGATGAACAAAAAAAATATTCCATATATAGAAAGAACAGCATTAGAATTACCGGAAGACACCTTAATACCTACCCCACGTCAACAAAGAGAATGTGTTTGAGCTGGACCCCTGTTCAAAGATCAGGGCGAAGGAGTCGAAAAGAAGAGAAGAAAATGCTTCTAAAAGCCTTCTTTGCCTCACGGTCAGGCTGAAAATACATACAGTACATAAGACCTTACCCTGGTTGTGAACAACCGAGGTGACCCCTTGTCAGCCAAGCATTCGTCCAGTCGTGGGTACCAAGCTGTGCCGATGTGATGCTGAACACGGGTACGCGAGTGAAGATCCATCGTCTTGGTGGAGGCCTGGGCAGTCTAACAGTGGCTTTGGGCTGTAAGGGGCGCTATTGGTTTCTGACAGGGCCCAATATGGCCCTGTGGTGAGTGCTGAGTGGTCCCTGCCCTTCCTTGCACCTTCCATTTCGTCGTCGTCGCCACCTCACCTTTGTCGACTTTACCTAAGGTTAAGGCCAAGGTGCCGTACCGTAGTACCCTGCCTTACTGAACCGTATCCAATTGGCTTGGTGACTGGCTGGTCTGTCTCGTCGCCTCCGGCCCCACCCCTGGTTGTCTCTGTCTTGTGTTTGGCTCTTGTTGATCCAGTCATGCCAGGCTCGGTTTTTTTTCTTCGCTGTAACTTGACTGGTGTCGTAACAGTAACAGGCACAGACAGGAGACAGTACCTCAGACGCTCTGCGTTTCTACGCGTACTCCAATTTCTATTGGCTGAATTAATTCTTTTAATTTCATTCAGTGAGTGAGACTTGAAGCACTTTGCTCTCTCCGTCAACTACGAGGGATCCCAGTGCTAATTCTGCAGCGATTCTTTGGTCTCCCGATCGTTTGGTTTGGTTTGGTTTCGCTCCCTCCGCTTGGTACAGGCGTTATTGACGTCGTCCTTGCTAAGCGCACCCCCCTGTTCTATCCGCCCTTCCCTTCCATCCCGGCCTCTTTCACTTTCTTGTCTCTTCATCTCCACATCAACCTCTCCACCCTGGGTTGTTTTCTGTCTCCGTCTGGCTCCTCATCCCTCACTAGTAGCCCAAGCTGTTCCAGAGAGAAAAAAACCAGACCAAGTGAAGACAAAAAGAGAGAATCAAAAGAGAGAGAAAAAAAAAAGGCAAATTCTCGTCGGGAGCTTTCTCTTTAAGACAAGCTCAGCCCCAGCCCCATTCATCGCCCGCTCTGATCGCCTTCCTTTTTTTGGTGTACACTTTTGCAGGTGACGACACACACGACACGACGTTATCGGCCTTTTCCTTACAACTCGTCACTCACATCGATACACACTCAGAGCACGCTCTTTTTCCGCCATTGATCTGAATCTCGGACACGATACTCCTATAAGCACATAGCATACCAGGCACCTGTCCTGTTTCAACTGTAAGCTCCTTTCCCCTCCTTTCTTGACAAAGATCCCCAAAACCCAATACCACCAGACCAGACCAGACTAACTAATCAACCAACCAACCAGCAGATCTGCCGCCTCGACTGAACTTTAGCGCTCCTCCAACGCCGCTCATACGCCCGCCGCGCCCACGGTCCCTCACTCGTCCTTTCACCTCCACAGCCCACAGCCTACTCTGCAGTATAACTGGGGTCTCGACCTTTATTACACTTTGGATCCCCCAGGTCCGCATTCCTACTGTTGTATTCAAAACTGTCTCTCGCCCAAACCCAAACACTCTTTCGCTCTAGACATCCACCTGTCTTCCCGATAGACTCACGGCCGGCTGCGCACCATCGAACTCTCGTCGCCTTCGTCCGCCTCCTGCTGCTGTTCTTCTCTGCCCGGCCTTCGCCAAGCCCTCTGGCATAAGTCACCATCCGCAATCCGTCCACGACGACATTCACCGGCTCGCCGCTTCAACTATCCTCGCATTCCAATCCCTTAAGGACCACCCAGCAACCCCGACGCTTCCAACCTCGACGGCCTCGACCCTGCCTTGCGCCATCTCCGCTTTGGGATTGATTGTCCTCGAAACGTCACATCTACGGGCCTCCAGGCGGACGTGTTTGTGATCACGTCCGATCGCCAATTACACTACCTGTCTTGTCCGTTGGGGCATTTCTGACTTTTATTCCGCGTCTACGATCCTGGACCCTCGATCTTGGCAATCTGTAAATCATATCTCTCGCCTCCTCGTCTTCTTCATCGTGGACCCTCTCTTGTGGTACAGATTGGCGCCATAACAAGCCACCTTCCTCCGCATATCTTTCGTCACCATTGCGGCCGTTCCCTCTGTGCCCACTCTGTGGTTTTCACCGACAAGCTCAACAGAATAGTTTGTCCTTAATGGCCTTATCGTTCCTGCGGTAGCCTACTTCTAGACCCGACGCCTCTTCCTGTCTGTACCATATGAGCATCTGGGCCAGTCTTACTGCGTCAGATATTCAGTCCCCACTTGGTGTCGCTCTTATTACTTGACCTGGTCCCCTCCCTTGGAAACGCTCCAAGATCTGGTTCGTTTCCTTATTTGATCTTTTGACTACTCTACTGCTCGGCCTGGGACGCACCGAAGTGTTCCTGACCATAGAATGATGGGCGTATCGCGCTCGCGGAGGCAATCTCTCGAATGCCACGGATGCAACATACCTCCGCCATCCCCTCAACCATCTTCAGCCTTTGAGGACATCTTCGACGTCGATTCGCCTGTGTCAAGGCCTGTCAGTGAGGCCTTCATGTCTGGAACCTCCACACCAAATGGCACAATAGGTTCTCGGCCACCATCTCTGACCGAAATTCTTCTCGATGTTGCATCGCCACCATGGACCCTCAGCGCTTTCATGGCCTACCTTTCACAGAATCACTGCATGGAGAGCCTCGAATTTACACTCGACTCACAACGATACGCCGCCTTTTACAACGAGATGATCACCAATAACCCGAACCGCACTCAAGAGAACAACGACCGTGTCTGTATTTTGTGGGAAAAGCTCATGCAGGTTTACATCATCCCCTGTGCGCCTCGAGAGGTCAATCTCCCGGCCCGTATCCGCGATCAGCTGCTCGGCCTTCCTTGCGGCCCAACCCCCCCTCACCCCGCACAGCTGGATGAG